ATAATAATAATAATAATAATAATAATAATAATATTTGGGAATTTTGTAGCGCCTAATCCAAGAAGGCAAAAACACCATGATTCATGCAGACTTATACCACAACGTAACTGACGAGTAGAAAGACAGAAAATGTTACAACAGAATTCTCTCCATTTATAAATAGTAGTAGATCTAGCGTATCGATTAATCCAGCTAAACTTTTATCGACTTTTAAAACAATTAAAATTGTCTGTTGCATCATGGTGAAAGCAGGCGATCTTCAAAATTAATAACATTAAAGGAACTAGCAATTTTTTACTGGACTTTTTGGCGATTATTATCGATGCTTTGTGGTTCAACACATTTTATGCCCATTTAAAAGCACATCTCTGTACGTCTTTAACTGAAAAAAAAATTATCGAAGGCGCACAAAAGTGTTTAAATCTGCAGTTTCCATGAAAACTCGAGCTTTAGAAGTTACACAAATTTGGCGGCCACTTTCCGCGCTAAATTTACCTTTCACACATGGCAATCGCCACCTCTCTCAATTACAGACATCTTGACTTCTATTCAGGACAGATAAGCATATTTGTTCCACAAAAAAGCAAAGCAAAAGAACAGGGCTTCAGACAATACTATAATAGAAAAAAACCTCCATAATCTGCCCCAAACTTGACGAGCGTCTGATTCCACGTCGTCATGACATCACAAACAGTGACCCAGTTGTCCTGACCTCTCTGCCGGACGACACTTCCACAACGTAGCTCCTCGGACGTAATCAGCCGGAGCCGGAAGGAGCTGAGCCTGGGCTTGATCACGTGACAGAGGAGACCATTTGCTCCCATGTCTTCTTCTGTCTCCGATACAGTGTGATAGTTCTCTGACAGTAAAATAAGAAACTGAAAACAAAATATAATACTAATGAAGGTAATAGTAATGAACGTTTAAAAAAATTGAAATAACATTTTCTTCTATAAAATGTTCTCCTTTCAGACCCTTTCTTGCTTTCTAACCATTATTATTCTGTCGTTTGCTTTCGTCTCCTTTTTCTGCCCTAACCACTATGCCCCCTCCTCTGGGCTCGTGACTGTTTCTTCAGCACTTCTACTCCTACTCCTTGGCTCCTTCTTACTGCTGTCTTTCAGCCACACCCTTGATCGTATGGGAGGAAAGGTCTACAACTAGCTTTAATGGATAAGGGCGAAAAATGTCGGAGGGCCCTTGGTGGTTCTAACATTGATAAGAGTTGGCATCGGCTGCCTCCAGGGTAAATTTCAAAATTCATACCAACAGACAATGTACAATGTTTCCTGCGTGATCACATGACCGCATGCACCTGCGAGAGTCGTAAAAATCTTGCATTTAAAAAAAATTCAGTTTAATCCTTTCACTGCTTTGGCCGAAATGGTGCAATAATAGTATGTTTTTTGATAGAACTATAACCCTCATCCGGTGCCTTGCCGACAGGCGTTGGCGACCACTTCACTCTGTCTTGCTTTGCAGCAATGGTGTCTGTTGTTCTTGCTGCTCTTAGCCGGGTTGTCAATTTGTCCAACATCTTTTCCTCTCTGTCTGCCTCTGCCTCTCTTTCCATCAAACTTGCCTGTTGTTACAATATTCTCTAATGCTTCTTTCCGCATGGTGTGTCCGAAAAAATGTGTCTGTCGCTTTCTTATATATAGAACTATATTACAGGTATAATGATGGAGGGGTCACCCCCCTCCCCTTCCTTTGCCCGACCAGGGCAGTGCTACTTACTGAAGTTGTCTTTAGGTCATTCCTAAAGGAGGGATATTAACATGTTCTTATGCACTGTAGAATTGTAAATGAGCTGATTTATAAATGTCATGCTCATACTGTGCCGGAACGACATAGGGGAACTCCTGCTTTTTCTTCCCTCATCCTTACTATCATCAAAGAGTCTACATAACAAGAGGGGCCACTTCTCTCTTTGAGCCAATTAAAAAAGTGTCCTCAAAATTCGGTGGCGCCCTC